ATTTGGATTCTGTGCTCTGAACTCCATGATTTGCTCTAGAGTGGTCATTTGGGGGTTTGGTCCACTCCCTTTGGCTTTACGTTTGGCTTTGTATGAAGACTGTTCCGGAGAGTCGTACACATTAATAATGGTGAATTTGCAGTCGTCTTGCGGAAAAATTGTCACGGCTTGGAAGTCAGGGCAACCTGTATTTAACCTTTTCACTTTTCCTGAGAGTGAGCGGTGAATTCCGATACAGATACCTCCTGAGCGAGAGTCCTTTCTAGTGCTATTGAAGCATTCATAGTTAGGTAGGAAAAATTCTCGCTTCGTTTCCTGGAGACATATATTCCATATATTGGACCGTCGACGAGTCCAACTCGGCGCGCGTCCTGGTAGGTTATATATAAACCTACAAGTCTTATTGAAACCATTCATAATTGACGATGTCAATTCTTCGCAGCTAGCTCAGCGTTTACTGGGCCGCGCTCAGCCTGTCATTCCGCCTAATGTCTATGTTTATGAACATGATAGCCTGAGGTCCCCAGGTAAATTTTAAGCGGGTAATATCTTGTACATGTAGTGCGATGCGTTACATACTGGGCCGCGCCGCGAACTCAATAATGCTTCTCGCAACCACCTCGCTAGATCGGCGAGGTGCGCTACTGGGCCTCGTACCGAGCTGCGATGAATTGACATCTTCAATTAAGTAATATCAGGTCCAAACTAATGATACATAACACAAAGACTTCATTGTACCTGCTTGATACATGTTTCGTATCCCAAATATCAGAGATTTCGGCGGCGCGCGCTTCGCGCGCGAAAAGTGGCATGCAACGTATGTCAATAACCTGCATGAAAAGCATTAATATACGTTTTCTACATTTTAAGTGTAGTGACTTGGGGTCCATACCCATGAAAAGTTACCGGCTGGTGGTGGTACTAGAGTTGGTTTAATTTAAACAGACGGCTTGACCTCGCGCGCAACAACAAGCATGATTTGCACGCGTGGCGTATTCCAATGTTCAGGCAGCTACCACGTGACACAATTCAGCCAACCAGAGTACAGGAATCCGCAAAGTTAAAGTTGCAAACTTTTGATCGGCCCGAAAGGGGACTTTTCTGGAGATTTTGATATAACTCAACAATTACGTTGTCTTGAATTTTCCTCCTGGAGAGGTAACGTTACATTTAAAAGAGAAACATGTTACAAAAAACCGGAAGTCTCCAACTCTTTTACTTTCAAAGTTAAGCCCCATCCGGTCAGGGTTCCTGGGTGTAGCTGGCTGACGCCGAATAGGGTGTTTTGGCCGTTCTAACTTAAGACTTTTAAGAATTAAAGCAGCCGTATTCATATTGATCTTCCAAACCTACAACTTTCAAGGGCTAGAATTCGCTGTATTTTGCCGTTAAAACACAACTTGAACTGTTTAACTTCATGATTGGGCCGTAGTTCAAAAGCAAATTGGCAAGAAGTGGTGCTCACGGTCTCACTTAACGTCACTTATCGCTCAGTTAAGAGCGACCATGGTCTTAAGCGACAGACAGCCTGCAGGCATATGATCCGAATACGAAATATCCTTGTGTTCGGCATTTAATAGCCCTAATTGGTTACTTCGTACCCATGAAAAGTTACCGGCTGGTGGTGGTACTAGAGTTGGTTTAATTTAAACAGACGGCTTGACCTCGCGCGCAACAACAAGCATGATTTGCACGCGTGGCGTATTCCAATGTTCAGGCAGCTACCACGTGACACAATTCAGCCAACCAGAGTACAGGAATCCGCAAAGTTAAAGTTGCAAACTTTTGATCGGCCCGAAAGGGGACTTTTCTGGAGATTTTGATATAACTCAACAATTACGTTGTCTTGAATTTTCCTCCTGGAGAGGTAACGTTACATTTAAAAGAGAAACATGTTACAAAAAACCGGAAGTCTCCAACTCTTTTACTTTCAAAGTTAAGCCCCATCCGGTCAGGGTTCCTGGGTGTAGCTGGCTGACGCCGAATAGGGTGTTTTGGCCGTTCTAACTTAAGACTTTTAAGAATTAAAGCAGCCGTATTCATATTGATCTTCCAAACCTACAACTTTCAAGGGCTAGAATTCGCTGTATTTTGCCGTTAAAACACAACTTGAACTGTTTAACTTCATGATTGGGCCGTAGTTCAAAAGCAAATTGGCAAGAAGTGGTGCTCACGGTCTCACTTAACGTCACTTATCGCTCAGTTAAGAGCGACCATGGTCTTAAGCGACAGACAGCCTGCAGGCATATGATCCGAATACGAAATATCCTTGTGTTCGGCATTTAATAGCCCTAATTGGTTACTTCGTACCCATGAAAAGTTACCGGCTGGTGGTGGTACTAGAGTTGGTTTAATTTAAACAGACGGCTTGACCTCGCGCGCAACAACAAGCATGATTTGCACGCGTGGCGTATTCCAATGTTCAGGCAGCTACCACGTGACACAATTCAGCCAACCAGAGTACAGGAATCCGCAAAGTTAAAGTTGCAAACTTTTGATCGGCCCGAAAGGGGACTTTTCTGGAGATTTTGATATAACTCAACAATTACGTTGTCTTGAATTTTCCTCCTGGAGAGGTAACGTTACATTTAAAAGAGAAACATGTTACAAAAAACCGGAAGTCTCCAACTCTTTTACTTTCAAAGTTAAGCCCCATCCGGTCAGGGTTCCTGGGTAAGTATTACAACACAAGCTTATTAATCAAGAAGAACAATTTGCAATTGAGGTAGACACTAGACAGGTAGCTCTGGTGGGTGCATAATTCGTATGCAGTATGGTCTTCAGTCTTGTCTCTCCTAGATTAGCCTGCTTATTTAAATTTATTTATCTTGTTGCTTAATTTCTCGTTTCTATAGATACTATGCAAGGGCATGTTTTTCTAAACTTAATATATACTTTTAATTTAACAACTCAATGCAATAGTCAAATTCACCATACCCTTTGTGCATTCCTAAATAGTGGTATGTCTTAATTGTTGCTGTGATTGATTTAAATAAAATTTTGTTGTTTTCTTGTTTTGTTTTGACGGATGTTACTCGTCTAAATTTCTTCGAAGTAGCGCGCGCCGCTTTCTTCTCGAAATGGCCCGATGGCCCGAGCTACGAAGTAGCGCGCGCCGGGCCATTGTTAATGATCTGGCCGGCCAGATCATTAACAATGGTCAAATTTTGTTTGACTGCAACACCCTACTAGTCAGTGTAATAAGCGCAAAGCGCGAGCACAGAACTTTTTTTCTCCGATTTCGATAAATTTGGTACCAAAAGTTGTCTAAAAATGTGAATAAAATAAATCCACCGTGTAGCAATTTTCGCTAAAAATGCTACACGGCGCTTGTTCGCCGCGCATGCTTTTTTCGCGCAAATTTTTAGTTTTTGGCCTATAACTTTCACATTTTCAGTTATTATCACGTAATTATTATGGCATTGTAATAAGCTCATCGAGACGAAACTTTTGGTATTAATATTTTAAGATTTAAAGGAAAATTATTTTCAAACATTTTTAATCTGAACACAAGGGTCCCCCCTTGTGTGAAATTTTGACAAAATTGTTGTGCTTCAAATATTATAATTTTGGTACTAAAAGTTGCGTCTGACTAAGCTCATTACGATCCTGTATGAATTATTTCAAACTATTTAATATGTTCGGAGTTATAGGCATTTTAAGCAATAAATTATCCATTTTTCGTCCTTTGTACACTCTTGCGATGCACAAAAGGCTCACATACAGCTCGACGTTATCGTGCTACACGGTGAATTTTCATTATTCACACTTAGAGGCAACTTTTGGTACCAAATTTATCAAAATCAGAGACAAAAAATTCTGCCACATTTTGTACCCCAAATTTTGTACTCCTTATTTTACAAAAATTAAACCCAATATCTGAGAAAATTAAGTACAATAATCTTCTCTGATCAGCTGTTCCATCTTGTAAACAATTTTTCCACAGCCTTTGAAAGTTAGCCTCAACTTAACTTATAATCCTCCAGAGGGTATAGGAGACCGACAGTGTTTGTTATCTTCCACTAATCCCGAAGTTTCACTGCCATGGCCAATAATGTTGTGACAGAGCTTGCTTAGTTTTAATGGAACGTGTCCAAAATCATTTTTAAAGCAATTTATGATTGAATACTAGTGTTAATTAAGTGTTTGATGAATCATATTTATAACTTACTATATTGATACATTGATAGTAAATCGTCCAAAAATTTTGTTCGAAAAACAATTGACTTTCGTACCATTTAAATAAGTAAGTTATTTAGCAGTTTGACACACATGTACCATGTTGAACCTGAATACAAATAATACGGTATGTTTCATGAATCAAATTGAAATTTGATTAGTCTTGATAACCTTTCTAATTCTTTCAAATGAAGTGGGCGCACGCGCATCTCAGCACTCAAGCTGCCCCTGCATTTTAAACTCGAAAAACAATTGTTAGCCTTCACATATATTTAGATATTAACAAATACATTACTATGGCAACCATCATAAATGGATAATGATTTTTGGAACAGCATTAAGGGCCGGAACCAAGAGTGCCCAATGTCATGACAATTTTACGACAGGATGTGACAATATGAGCAGGGAATGACAGGGAATGACAAGGAATGACAGAGAATTTCAAGGAATAATGACAGGGAATGACAAGGATTGACAAGGATTGACAAGGAATGACAAGGAATGACAAGGAATGACAAGGAATGACAAGGAATGACAAGGAATGACAAGGAATGACAAGGAATGACAAGGAATGACAAGGAATGACAAGGAATGACAGGGAACGACAGGGAACGACAAGGAAAGACAGGGAATGACAGGGAACGACAATATTCGACAAACCGTGGGAAAAAGGGCACTCTCGGTTCCTGCCCCATTAACTATATAATATTCCTCCTGTAACATAAATAATGTCGTGGATTTGTGGTTTCGAAATGTAAAATTAGCGTAATTCAATTCCTTATCTTCACATATTTATATCAAACACAATTCTAATGTTATCCAATAAGTTTGTAGTGAGCAGCGTGATATGACAGAATAATAATGGCACAACACAGTCACACGGGCTCAGAAGAAGATGTGGGGGACCTCTTTAGTGATTGTTTCTGGGAGATGAAAGGGTTTAAACAGGTACATACTACATATCTATTGTTGTATATTTAGCTTATTTTTGTCCCTGATCCACAGCTGTGTGAGCAGGAATTGGTTAGCTAGAGGCAATCTATGGTAAACTGCTGTCAAGTGCTACTGCCTACTGCAATACTAATAGAATGCTTTATTGAAATTAATTTCAAACTAAGTACATATTGATAGCTACCAAGCATGTAAGTATACAAAATGATTATGCTAGTGTAATTTGGACACAATAGCTATGTGTAAAACTGATTACAGAGGGGGGGGGGGGGGGGTTAAAAATTGTCCAAAAAGTGATTACGTAATATGTGAACGACCCCTAACTTGCACACATCTTAGGTTGTAAAAAGGATTGATGACGGCGCTACTCTGACCGACAATCTCACTCAACTAATACATGAGCGTGCAGAACTGGAACTGAAATATGCCAAAGGTCTCAAGACATGGAGCAGAAAGTGGGAAGATGCTGTCAATAAGGGACCTGAATACGGTTCATTAGAACTAACAATGAAAAACCTGACTGTTGAAGCAAACGAAACTGCAGATATTCATTTGGATGTGCGTCAGAAGCTGACTGGGAGCTCTCTTGAATCAATAAAACACTGGAAAAACTCAAATTATCAGAAAACTTTTGTGAAGTGGAAACAGACAGCTGCGGCTCAAGAAGGGTTTGATAAAGTGCAGCGACCTTGGGCTAAGAGGTTTTTGAAAGTGAGTTTGATCGACCTGAAATAGATGTTTTCTCCTCTTTAAATTGTGTTGTCTCTGTTACTTTTATATAGCAGCTAGAATTTACGAATACCACCTCAGGCTATGGGGGTTTAGATTAACCTAATATTTCATTTTCTTACCAGTTTTATGTTACACTATATGTCTTATTTTATTTATTATATAACTTTTTTTATCTAATTTCTGTTGCTGATTAGTTAAAGTGTCCGAATGATCAGGTAGAAAAAGCAAAGAAAGCATACCACTTAGCAGCTAGAATGTTAGAACAAACAAAAGGTCAGCTTGATATTTATACGCGGGACGCCATGACCACATCAGATGCCCTTAAAAAGATGAAAGATAAGCTTAGCAAAGCAGAAACAGAAAGTGACAAAACAAGGGATAAGTACCGGGACAGGTTAGTTTCGTAGAGGTTGAGCAGTGAGCAGGTTTAATTAGTTTAATTAGTTTCGTAGAGGTTGAGCAGTGAGCACCGACCAGGTTTAATTCCGAATATTATTGGAAAACAACTTATATTCTTGTGATGAGCACAGTTCAGTTGTGTCGACCTATATAATGACTTTCTCTCACTGCAGTTCAACTTAGTTAGGAGTTTACCTGAACTTGACGCAATCAGTAATATTTGGACGACTTATCTGAAATCAGCAGCAAGAGCATCAAGAAAAAGTCTAATCATGATTAAATACACATACACAGTACACGCTGGCTTGTTTTTGTGTGAAACTCCTCACAATTTAATGTTACATTGCGATAGTGTCATAAATACCTACACATATGTTTTTATGTGCATATTTTCTCTGACGATGAACATGTTTTAAAAAGGATTATACGCTAATGTCATGAAAAAGGTTTTTTTCTAACATGCAACTCATACAAAATAGATTTAAGTACAAGACACATTTTTCAGACTAAACGAGTTGGACATGGCAAACCAGCAATACATCAACGAAATGACAGTGGAATTTGAGAAATGTCAGGCAATGGAGAAGATAAGAATAGAGTTCTTTGTTGAAACGATAACGGACTATCTGAATTATATCGACGTTTCTAAAGACGCCAGGTAATGTTATTTAAACATTTAGAATCTTTCAACTTCAATTCAAATTTGAATTATTAAGCATGCAAACATAACTTCATAAAACATATATATAACATGCGTAATTTAATTGATTCTATCTATTTTTAGAAAACCGAGCTCATGTATATTGTATAAGAATATGCATATTGCATATTAAACATTTACTAAATATGAATCTAAATGAATTCTCCTTCGCTTTGGCCGGCATTTAATAAAATAATAACTGGACGATAAGTACAAGGAGCGTACAAATTTAAACATTCTTACTTTACGCGAACAGCAGGACACTAATCTTACACACTTACACGTGACGTAATTCAACGTCCACCTGTCTTTGAAGTACAGTAATTAATATAATGTTATCTCACATATGGTTCATATTAACCAAACATGTTAGATTGTAGAACTAATTTATGTTACATGGAGTGTGTGTACTGTGTTTACTGTGTACAAACAGCATGTACTATATATACATATATTGATTATAATACATATGTACATTAAACTGTGTGTATAATTTATATTGTATATAATGTGTATTGTAATTTATTGTAGTTTCGTATATAAAGGTGTGGTTCCATCTGTAATTAATACCAGGCACATGATGATAGGGTTTAGGCTACTTTACTGCTCATGCTGGTTGAGGAACCAATGTGGGCCAGAGGGTGACCAATGTGGGCCAAAGGGTGACCAATGTGGGCCAGAGGGTGACCAATGTGGGCCAGAGGGTGACCAATGTGGGCCAGAGGGTGACCAATGTGGGCCAGAGGGTGACCAATGTGGGCCAGAGGGTGACCAATGTGGGCCAGAGGGTGACCAATGTGGGCCAGAGGGTCACCAATGTGGGCCAGAGGGTGACCAATGTGGGCAAGAGGGTCACCAATGTGGGCAAGAGGGTCACCAATGTGGGCCAGAGGCTGACCAATGTGGGCCAGAGGGTGACCAATGTGGGCCAGAGGGTGACCAATGTGGGCCAGAGGCTGACCAATGTGGGCCAGAGGGTCACCAATGTGGGCCAGAGGGTGACCAATGTGGGCCAGAGGGTCACCAATGTGGGCCAGAGGGTGACCAATGTGGGCCAGAGGCTGACCAATGTGGGCCAGAGGGTGACCAATGTGGGCCAGAGGGTCACCAATGTGGGCCAGAGGGTCACCAATGTGGGCCAGAGGCTGACCAATGTGGGCCAGAGGGTCACCAATGTGGGCCAGAGGGTGACCAATGTGGGCCAGAGGGTGACCAATGTGGGCCAGAGGCTGACCAATGTGGGCCAGAGGCTGACCAATGTGGGCCAGAGGGTCACCAATGTGGGCCAGAGGGTCACCAATGTGGGCCAGAGGGTCACCAATGTGGGCCAGAGGGTCACCAATGTGGGCCAGAGGGTCACCAATGTGGGCCAGAGGGTGACCTAAATTGTGGGACTAAATATACCTCAAATCAGTTACCAAGTTCATCTTTATAATATATTATCTATTATCTGTTGCTGTGTAAGGACTAATGTACCACCGACCTAATGATATTGATACGAAAAAGGCCAAAGTTTGTTCAATCATTCAATTTAAAACTAGTATATAAGAGATTAACTTGAGTTTCAGACTTTCATTAGATTTTCTCGTTCTTAAAAATAACACGGTAACTAAAAAAAGTTTCTTCTTTTCCCGTGTTGCTGATTTGATCCCAAAATATTCGAATCCTGTTACATTCCTTTTTATACCCCACCCATGAGCTGTACTTTAATTAACTTACACATCACCTACTTTAATTAACTTACATATCACTCACATATCTTAAGAGGACAGGAAGACTCACCAGCATACACCTCTATGTTATTTGCTATAAATTCTGATATTTTTATGGAAGGGAGACGGGGTAGACCATGTTTAAACTTATTAGATGTTATTAGAAAAGACTTGACTAGTAGAAATCTTGATATTAGACTTAAGAATTTGACTGATTTCGAAGACCTTAGATTTTTAGCTTTAGATAGGGAGGAGTGGAAGAAGTTAGAAGATGGTTGATGTTTTTTGTTTTCTTTTTTATGCGTTTTGATATCTATAAGGTGCCTAGGATGCTCTTTTAAAGAGATATTTCGTACTTTGAAAGATTTACTACTACTACATATCACCTACTTTAATTAACTAGAACATATTTATCAGTTTAATTAACTAAACACATAGCTTACTCCAATAACCTTAACTTGGTCCGGTCTGATAGTCTAACAAGAGAGTATACACATTTAATTACATAACAGGCTAACTGCATGATTATAGAATAATAGAATACATCCTGTAGGAAATGCTCTTTTGTGTGACCAGTGTACTTGTGAACGTGTATTATATAATACAATATATACATTGGTAGATTAAAATGTGGACATTGTTAGAATTATAAGTTGGTGTTGTCCAAGTTGGTACTCAAGGTCAGTATTAGCGGTGGTAGTTGGGGTAAAGTGTGATATACAGATTACGACACAAGGAATTCAATATGAATCGTACATGTTGTCCAAAAACGAAATCTGATAACGATTAGTGATACGAAATTAACGTTATTCGTAGCTTTTGATTGGAAAATCAACCGGTTTAATAGAAGCAACATTTTAACTGTACACTCTGCAGAGTGTAAACCACCTATTGAGAAACTTTTGATTCGAGTCTATTTCCAGATGGTCCCATAAATAAGTTAGTAACGATTACAGTTCTCGTTTACTGTAGTTACTGATTCATTGTACTTCTTTTAGCCGGTATCCGATAATTCAATGCTAATTTCATTAGACAATGTAGCAGTTATTACATGAAGTTTTTTTGTTTCTAACTATAAGAATTATTACTGCGTTTCGTCATTATTCGTGTGCTTTCGTGTGCTTTCACCGCACGGGGGGTAGTACATGATTCGTGTGCTTGACAATGAAATGTCGTTTCACCGTACTACAGTACATGATAGTGTATATTTCACCATTTCAATAGCACATTTTGAGAAGCTACTATCAGTCATTACTTCATTAAGCTTGTTCACTAATTTCACACATCGTACTACCACTCTACCACAATGTAGTTTTAAAACATAATACCTACTTAGTAATAAGTGATGACTGAATAGTTTTAGTGAACACTGATCTCATAATGTCTGGATACCATCTTCATACCTTTCCCTCGTTATCTAATACCCACACGTGACGTTATATAGGGGATGTCAAGCTTATTGGCGGTAAAACATCATGTTTTTTTTTCTTTGAAGTTAAGTTTTACTAAAAACACAGTTCTTAACAGCTACATCCACTTTAGGAAGGCTGCTGTGTGCCGCCTTACCAGCAGCAGCAACAATATCTACATTTAATGGTGTGATTACCTTAGCAGCTGCAAATAGTAACACTCTTTATTTGTTATATAGTAGTGTTGCAAATAGTAACATTCTTTTCTACGATCAGCAAATTTAGAATTTAGTGCTCTGTTGACTGTTCAAGACAAATACTATCAATAAATGAGAACTGTATGATAATGAGTGATGTTGGATAATGAGTACTGTGTGATCTCTACTTATATCACAATCACGGAGTTGGCTATTTAATTAGACTGATTGGGTTGAACAGCGTGCACAACAACTCACAATGTGTACTGTGTGTACAATGTGTACTGTGTGTACTGTGTGTACAGTGTGTACAATGTGTACATGTGTACTGTGTGTACTGTGTGTACTCTATGTACTGTGTGTACAATGTGTAGTGTGTGTACTGTGTGTACTGTCTAGTCTGTGTAGTGTGTAGTCTGGTATAGTACAGTTAGTGAAGCCTCTCCAGTGTAACCGTGTAGGTGTGGTGTCGTGTTAATTTAGATAAGGTTTGGCTTCTTTCAGTGTTATATATTGGTGTATATATTAGTGTATATTAGTGTATATATTAGTGTATATATTAGTGTATATATTAGTGTATATATTAGTGTATAGTGTGTATATTAGTGTATATCAGTGTATATATTAGTGTATATATTAGTGTATATATTAGTGTATATATTAGTGTATATATTAGTGTATAGTGTGTATATCAGTGTATAGACTCTTTGTTTTGTAAGATGTATTGCTGTTGAGAGCAGTTTTACTGGCAGCAAATCGTGAGATTACGATTAGAGTGGACACATACACTGCTGTTACTCATGTACTGGTTACTGGTTACTGGTTTCTAGTTACTTGTTACTGGTTTCTTTCTACTGGTCGCTGGTTACTGGTTTCTAGCTACTGGTTACTGGTTACTGGTTTCTAGCTACTGGTTTCTGGTTACTGGTTTCTAGCTACTGGTTTCTTGTTACTGGTTACTGGTTACTGGTTTCTAGTTACTTGTTACTGGTTTCTTTCTACTGGTCGCTGGTTACTGGTTTCTAGCTACTGGTTACTGGTTACTGGTTTCTAGCTACTGGTTTCTGGTTACTGGTTACTGGTTACTGGTTACTGGTTGCTGGTTTCTAGCTTTCTAGCTACTGGTCGCTGGTAACGACAACTTAAAAGAATTAAAGATTTACAAATGACAATATAAGGATAATGTAACACAATGGCTCTGTAGTCTTTACACACATACACTAGACCTTGTTTACATTAGACTTTATTTTATTAAATTACTGGGAGAAGTGTACACTGAGAACGTTACAATCTCCACCTATAACAAAGTAATAACCTTATTTAAACAATAACAAGTCGTCTATAAATACAAATAAGTTATTTATGTGACACAATATTACATGATAACATCATGTAATATATAGTTAAGTAACTGACAAGGTAATTACAGTAGGGCTTCACTTTAATAGTTAGTGTGTAATACAGTACAGATCATATCATCGTTAATTTACACTCCTTTTTAAGAATCCTTGAGTGTGCTGTTTTACACAAGTTTACGGTGTAGTGATGAGTTTACCTGTGAGGGGGTTTATTTAAAATTTGTTTTTACTGTTAGACTTAGAGTGACAGTTGATGGTAATTTTATGCGTCCTTGTGGTAAGAAAATGTAATTTGTGGCTTCGATCTCACCAATAAGTTAGCCTACTTAAAATTATTAATAATTAACATTTAAAACGATGAAAATGTAAGGAAGTAAAAAACTCCCCAAAATAATACACTATTGGTAGTTTCCTTGAACTTGCGATTTTAGGAATGTTTAGAAAACCTTGTCAGGAATGTCTATGTTAAATCTGATCTGCTAGTCACTCTCCCTTCTCTTCTCAACTAGTCACACCTTGTTTATAATAAATACCGTAATACTCATTACGTGTTTTATAAACGAGGATATTTATCTGCCACCAAAGAATGTACATTACAAACAATAAACTTAACCGAGAGTAAATTCCAGCTGTGCTGTTAAAAACTGTTAAAAAATCAGCGAAAAGAACTATTTACCAGTTGCAATATTAGAAGTAGATGATAATACAGTTAAGGAATGTCTGTGAGTGGGGGCTAAAAATAACTTGAAGAAATGATAACATCAAGAATCAAGATCCAGAGAGTTTAAGATAGATTTGTCACAGCAAACAAGCATGTTTTAGCTGCAAGTAAGATACGCAATGAGCATCGTGTAATCTAGACTGTGTTATGTGTGTTAAAATGATGGAATTTGATAATCTTAACAGAGGTTACTGTTATCTAATATCTTTATATGTGACATGTACAATTGTGTGGAACTTAATCAATTTATATTGCAACTGATTGTGTGTTGAAAATTTGGTAACAAGTTAACACTATATAACACATTATAACACATTATAACACATTGTAACACATTATAACACAATATAGCACAATATAATGACGTGTACTTAACGTTAAAGTGCCATTCTCATCACATTATCGGTTACTTGTTGTAATACGCTTCTAAAACAAAGCACTGAAATACCTCCTATAACTTGATATCGCAAGATCATGTTATAATTATAGTGGAATTTAACCTTTACAATAGTCATGTTATATCTCATGTTTACGATACACTTTACACATGTCTTATCACATTCTCTAAAACAATATGACAGATTATTTTATGTTTAGTGAGAGAGATGACTCATGTGGTCTAACAATCAAACTAAATTAGCAAGTTATTTTAATTATTTAAAAAATTATGCTATTGGTATACCCACTTAGTTAGCAATAAAATAAATAAATATATAAAATAAAAACTTAAATCACAGATCGTGTAAAAATTAAAATACATGTCTTAATCACGATTCTTCATTTAATCTATTCTACAATTAAATTTGTTTGAAAATCTCTAAATATCAAAATGAGAAATATCTTAAAATTTCCAAGCATTGTCATTAATCAAAAGTTTTCTCAAATCATTGTCAATGTCATGCCAAAAAAAAACACATTTTCTCAGAATAGCGTAAATGCCAGTAATCTCACACAATATAATCGTTCTAGAAAACGATTATTGTGTTGTAACAACAGTACACTTCCACCAGAATGTTAACACATTTTGTGTCTGTGTTTACTGTGTAAACTGATATATAGTAGAATTGTTATATGTAATACTATAGCTGTCTGCAGTATGAAAAGTAAACTTGTATGCCTACCAGTACTAATACTTACAACTTATATAATACTGTCTAAAGTATTAAACTAACTTTACTAGCGAAGTAGTGTTAATAGTTACAACTTGGTAAGAATTAATACCTAAAACCTGATAAGTATTAATACTTACAACTTGGTAAGAATTAATACTTACAACTTGGTAAGTATTAATACTAACAACTTGGTAAAGTAAGAATCCATTTGTTAAATTACACCTGGTTGTGTACTGTGTGGCCAGGCTCATAAAGCAGGTGTGTTTTAAAGAACAATAGTGAAGTCACACAGGGCCCGTTTACCCAGTAAATCTTATAATATGGGTGGTATAGTATAGGTCTATATAATATTCTATATAATATAGTTGGTTACACATTACACAATGTGGATTCATTCCTGAAGAGGTGAATCATACATAACTGAGCTAGGTACTTCAAATCTCACATTTAAATACTCCTCAAATTACACTGTTATTGAGTGTGTTGTTACTAAGTAGTGTTGAAAGCATGAGTTCATTTCCTTTGTAAAATAGCGCTTTGTTAAGATAGGATTATTAAACCTGTACACACAACTAGGGTAGTAGCTGTACTCGTTGCAGGGTGTTAGTTAGCAGGGTGTTAGTTAGCAGGGTGTTAGTTAGCAGGGTGTTAGTTAGCAGGGTGTTAGTTAGCAGGGTGTTAGCGTGGGTGTTAGCAGGGTGTTAGTTAGCAGGGTGTTAGTTAGCAGGGTGTTAGCGTGGGTGTTAGCAGGGTGTTAGTTAGCAGGGTGTTAGTTGCAGGGTGTTAGCGTGGGTGTTAGCAGGGTGTTAGCAGGGTGTTAGTTAGCAGGGTGTTAGCACTGTGTTAGCAGGGTGTTAGCGTGGGTGTTAGCAGTGTGTTAGCAGGGTGTTCCTAAGGTTATTTGTAGTATATGTTGTGTGGGTTATCACGGTTTTTAACATTCTGAACTTTAGGGTGTGAAATATTCTACCTCTGCCAGTGTGTTATTTGAGTTTTAAAATTCTTAATGTGGCGAATAAGATTAAGGTCACACCAATAACATATTAATAATAAAAATGTAAAAATTTGAATTTACCATACTATAGGAGGTATTGGAAATAGCAAAAATGATGCCTGATTTGTTCATGTGCTGTCTGTATACACTGTACTCAGTACAATTAGATACTGAAGTAACATATTTGTTTTGAAAACCCTGTTATAGCACTTGGCTTACATAAAAGTATTTATATAGCCAAACAAGGATACATTTACTAGATATTAACGGTCTCCTGTTATAAATATTGGACGGTTCTCTTGTAAATTGATTTAAATGGAATATAAATTTGTGTAGGGAAAGGATGGTTCGTTTGGTGCTGTGGAATTCTAGGAAGATATTATTTTATGTAGGCTAATATCCGAATAAATTAGAATCATTGGAATTATATTTAGAATGAGAATCAAATGAAATTAATGCTAATCTTAAACGTGACCATCGTTGAGTTTTTTCAATAGGACTTTAATTGTCACATGTTGAAAAATATCCGCCACACATTTTCATTCTTCGTTAAAGCACTTTTTCAACATTTTTTTGCAGGTTGACGAATTCCTTCCAAAACATACAATATGGACTCACTGAGATGACTATTGAAGAGGATTTAAAGAAATATGCGGATCAAAAAGGAACAGGGATGGCGATGGGTTGGCCCAAATTTGTGGTATGTGTATTCTGGCATGGGCAGGAGCAAATAAAATATGTTCAGTATTTGATTTAGAGTTGTGTCATGACCTAATGAAAACGTGCAATTTACAATTACCGTAGATCTTATTTCCGTATTCAGTCAAATTCCAACTATTCCACAATAAAATTGCTAATTTAATAGATGATTTGATGCCATTATTACATCATGAATGTGGAAGTGAACGGGGACACACCCAGCGCCTTAATAACCCTATTAGTGCCGAACTAATTACAACTTTACGTGACGCGCGAAAACGTTTTTGTGATTTAAGTTGTCACATTATGCAAAGATCACGCGCATAATCGAATTAAAGCGCGCGCATAAATTGAGCTGCATAAAATTTCTAAAATTCAATTGGACAATAAATCCTAAATTCTAACTTTCTAACATCTAAGCTGAGGTCTGTAGCCTTACGACTGCATTAATATCATTTCAGGAATACGATGAAGTTGGCAGCACATTACCAATCGGAAGTCTCCAAATGAAGGACAGCAACAGCAACAATGGTTACGAAGATAACAGGTGCGTTATTCCTTTTAATTCAATCTTTCGCTACCTCTTCTTGAACCGTTACCATTAACAAAGTTTACGAAAGATCTTCTGGTTGTTGTTATGCAGAGGTTTCTCAAATCTCACCTCAGTTATAATGAGATAAGGTTACCCCGAGGGTCTACGTCGAAATGGTTTCCATTTCACCCGCACACTCCGCCATTGTTGTGAGTTCCCCTGATCCTCCCCATCAGCATGTTCAACTCAATCTTCCTTCCTGTCAGCTCATTTCTTGTATGCTCGACAGTCTTGCCCAACAAAGGACAGCCCTACATTGCATCGTTCCCTTCAGCCCATCTCTTACATGAATTATAAGACTTCTCTCTTTGCCCAACTCCTCATTAAACCCTTCATATTCTAACCTTCATATAATAACCTTCATATTATAACCTTCATATAATAACCTTCATATTATAACCTAACAATTTTTATAGCATCTTTAGACAACCCCCTATTAGCCCTAGACTCATGCATCAAGTGTACAAAGGATTAACTTGAACAGTGTTGGTGTACTAAGATATTAGCACTAAGATATAAGACAGCTAATGACAAAACAAATCTCTTACACTACACTAAAGCTTTGTTTAACTAAAACCCGATATCCGACCTCATGTTTGTGTAATATTCCATCACGTACAAGAATCCGTTGTAACATTACGCCATGCTAAATACCTATGTAATATTACGCCTTGTAAATGTTACAGGTTGAAAGCTCTTAGATTTCAAAATTGAATTATCTAATCCGTTACTTTTCCCTCAGATCCAATAAAGCTGGCAGTGCCATTGGAGCTCCCATTGGAAATCCCTTCAACGGTTTTGATGATGTTGACTCGGAGTGGGGTGATCAGAATGCATATGTTGCTATTCCCGCGCCTGCAGCCGAGGTAAGATGATATGTGTGGTCTGGAATTATGGGGCGTGTTTACATGCATATTGCATAGTTGTGTGTGTACATTTACATGTGCGTGTGTGTACTTTGATCTATCTATATTCGGTTTTTGTTGGTCATTCATTTCTCATTAATTTGGGCGTCAAAAAAGCTTTGTTCAGAACTAATTTAAAATTATGTAATTGTATAATATAATTAACTCCATTAAAACACGTACATATTGCTAGGTTCGTGTAATGGCCATGTTTGATTACTCGGGAGCAGAGGCAGACGAACTTTCCTTCAAGGAGGGAGATGTTCTTATACAGGTACAATAATTATACATCAAATATTCGCCCCAAAACAGTCAGTTTCGATAACAGCATTAAGTTCTGTGCTGTTTTGATGAATTGGTTATTTTTCAAGAGTGGAAGGAATTTTTGGCAAATTTTCTCACCATTTCTTAAGCGACTTATGTTAATTGTACTAATTAAGCTAATTATTATGCTAATTATTATGCTAATTAAGCTGATTATTATGCTAATTATTATGCTAATTATTATGCTAATTATTATGCTAATTATTATGCTAATTATTATGCTAATTAAGCTGATTATCCCCCAGTTGGACGAAGAAGACGAGAACGGATGGTGTCGAGGTTTATTAAACGGAGTTGAGGGCCTCTACCCTGGGAGTTACGTACAACTAATGAAGTAGCACCACTAACAAGTGCCTGATCTAGTGATATATCTCCATTATGTTTCTCACCACTGAAGTGGAATGTTCCAGATTACCCTGGACTCATGGATTGTTCTGGAACAAAGAGATTGTTCTATCATAGTACAGATGGTACAGAATCTTTGGGGAGAGACTTTCAGATACCAAAAAGCTTACATTTCTCTCCCATGTATCCGAAACATAATTTCTTCAGCATACAGCGAGAACTGGGGAATGTCTCCGGATGGAAAGAATTTTTTTTTCGAATTTTATGGAGCTGGTATTTTGGTATTGTTTGACCGCTTTGCATGAGAATCTGATCACTATTTTACTGAAGAATATTTCGACAGTTTTTTGGTTGGTGTGAATTTCGAGAGGATTATTTGATGTACAGTGGAATTTTTATAAAACCTCGGCATCAGTTAAAAGCAGTAGTTTCCATAAAAAAATGTCTCTGTCCCATCAAAGAACGGCTTTGTTAAAAGTTCTTTGAAAATGGGGGAAAAACACAGAAAAATGCCAGTTTTCTGCTTAAAGTCTAGTCATTAATCACGTGGCAAATAACATGGAAGTTAGCCCTCTCTTTGTACGAGCATATTGTGGGATAGCTTGATTTTGTGCCCCCATGGGGTGCTAAAATCACTTTTTTTACTTAGAGCTATACTGATTTGAATTGTAATATACTGTTGAGCTACTTTGTAAGTGATTTGAAATTGATTGGATTTAAATTTATAGTAAGTTACAAGTTAGACAAATTTGCATGGTCTCAAAGCATTTCTGTGTTAATTTTGGAGTTTATCATTTAAGAAGATGAAAATACCAGCGGCCAAGGACAGTCAGGCCTCTATTCAATATGGCTCTCTATTTTACGCGATTTTGAGGCCAAGAATCTAGCATAACATGGCGCCTGAATGGAGTGTTTACGCCCTTCGATAACTTTTCATATTCATTCCAAGTGTGGTACTAATCCCCTTATACACGAAAGTTATACGCGGATGTCAATCGTCAATCGTCTGACTGTACCGGTCACTTCTCACTCACAGTCCGTGTTTTCTACTTTGGATTGATAGTGATATGTCCAATGTTAGATACCTACTATTTTTTGAAGCATCTCGATTTTATAATGTTAATGGTCAGACTTTTCTGGGACCACTGAATATTGAAGTAAGTGTTTCTGTAATACCACTCTGAAACACGCCAGTTTCTGCCATGCTAAAGTAGAATACTTGTTAAATATCATTCACTGAACAGAATTTATACAATTTCATGAAAGTTTACTAACAATAGTTCACAAATAATTGTAGTTTTACTGACTAAAAAAACAAAACCTATATATCACAATACCCGAACAAGTTTGTCTCGGGCTATTTATAATATCACCAGTAAAACTCCGGTATTTGACTCTTTCCTGCTTGCAAAAATATATTTTAATTTTTCTGGATTAACATGCTTCCGGGAAAATGGAGCTTTAAATGAATTTAAACTGATCCGGTGACCGAAGTTTCACTATCTGATCTCTACGTGAGGAAAAGTTATGGAAAATAGTACCAGTATTATTGATAGAAATTACCACAACGCAACCAAGAGTAGTTTTGATCGTGTGCCAGCAAGAACTTAATCAAGAATTAAGTGAGTCTTGTAGTCAAGCCACAAAGCCGTGCCTTCTAAGTTAAACAATGTACATATATCTTATCTTATCTTATCTTATGAGGATTCGTTGCGACGCAACAAGGCCATCGAATGAGTCGACCACCTTTGTTATTTTACTTCGGCATTACCTGCATTACAATGTAAACCAGCACTTTCAAGGAAGAGCTTTACAAGAAGCCGAAGGATCATTCCTAAGGCCAGCGACGGTTAAGGCACTATGCCACACTTTCTTCGCCCGAGGCTTCGCTGTATTGATCAAGCACAGCTCCTCATTTAACCCTCACACCCGATTTCTCGAGCATTCGGCTGAGTGAACCGTGGGGCTACATAGACCACTCGGGATCCTTAGCAGAGCGTCAACGACGCTCACCCCACGACTAGGCAGGCAGTTGGATTCGAACTCGCAACCTCACGATTACAAAGCCGATGATTACAGATTAACCAACTGCGCTACCTGGCTATATTTAAAATATGCTAAATTATGTAGTTTTGTGAGTTGAATGAATGGCATGTTTTGCTAGAAGACCAGGAATTAAAGTAAAAATGAGTAGGGTTGTGATAACACGATTACAAGCTTTGAGATTGAGATCACAGCTAGACCACACCGAGGGAGTTTGTTTAGATGTTGACTTTCGTCATGGCTGGTGCTTTTTCTAATTAAATTACTTCTGAAATTTGTAGATCAAATGAATATAGTCCATTAATTTAAACATGGTCCGTGATTCGTGAAACTAGTGTGTAAAGTTAATTAAAGTTAACTAGTGTGTAAAGTTAATTAAAGTTAACTAGTGTGTAAAGTTAATTAAAATTAACTAGTGTGTAAAGTTAATTTCTATGAACAATATAGTCCCAACTTGATGCAAAATACTGGTATAAATCACTAAGCTTACCTTCGTACTTGTTGGTTGTTTAATGTGTTACTGGGGGGCGCTCAGCCTGTCATTTCGCCGAACATTATATAGCCTGGGGTCCCCTTTAGTAGAGGCTCTTACGGGCATTGTCTGCTCGATACGTTAGGGACCACAGATACACCTTACTAGACGTATTTTTGACCGTAGAATCGATTGAAAGTGGTTTCAAGATGATTGGACTGATTGTTCTGGGGTAAAATCGCAAAAAACCGATTTTTGGGCCAAAAATAGGCCAAAAAACCATGTTTTTTGATATTTTGAGCAAGTTAATTTTGTTGGCATGCCGGCAAAACTTGCATAAAGATAGCTAAAAGACAGCCGCACAAGATTGTATAAAAATAAAACAAATCCCTCTATTTGTTCTGAGGTAAAAATCCAAAAAAGTGGTAAAAATTTTGACTTTTTTGCTTTAAGTTTGAATAATTTTTTGCAGTTGTATTAAATCAACCCAAAAATAGTCACATCGTGTTTGCCTAAATTTTTCCTTTCCGAGAAGTACCCACTTCATATACTTAATCGAAGTTTGAATATTGTCACTCCGCAAGCGTTTTTGCCAAATTTTCGACGCGCACTACGCGCAAAAGCATTTAGTTGTTATCAATTGGCACCCGCGCGTTCATCATAAATTTCAAACAGCTATAACTCAGCGAGATTATGTCCGTTCTAGCTCATATTTTCACACTAAATAGAAAATAATGTGATCTTATTGCTGACAAAATATGGATATAATTACTTTATTTGCCTTAGAGTAATAGACTGTCAAAGTTTAAAACGCGCATTGGTATAGCACGTGACTAATAAGGCCAAATTTATACTTCTTAACATATTATCGATCCTTAGACATCATACTATTGTGTCCAATTAGCGGTTAGGTCTCTAAACTCGTAGCAGAAAACACGTCTTTTTGCCCGTAAGAGCCTCTACTACTTGTGAGTTGGTTGTATGGGAGGAAGTTGGTTCCATGCACATCAGACAGAAAATAAGATGCTTCTCCGAATAAAAATGATCAACAGGATCGGAAAATATATTTTGTCGGGATGTATTTTACCGGGAAGTATTAATATTGTTGAATGGTTTCATGTCATATGAAAACGTTATGACACGATTAATTTCAAATCAGTCGAAATCACTAAGAATTCAGAATTGACAAACAATATTTCTATTAAAGGTCCTCATATATAATACGTCGGCTTTATGTTATTCACTTCGTTATATTCACTCTACATCATTTACAAATTTATATGTGAGGGAACTGCGATTAAAAAAAGTTGCAGTTTACCTCAAGGCTCGATGGTGTCTACTGTATATATAACAACTAGCTGCCAAATTGAATCGTTCCCCATCATTTAATCCAAAAATATACTATGCGCGCCGCTAACCCAACCAAACTATCATTGTGAATGAAAAATGACAAACTTTGTATTCATTTTATGTTAAGCGCGCGCAGTGAAGTTAGCTCATACGGCAAACCGTGACAGACAATGATTGCCACAATTTCGATATCATATTTTAGGATTCACTTTTCATAATGCAGTTCTTATGATCAAGTTGAAAAAAAAAACGTGAACTTGTGATACCTTTGTTGCTTAATAATGCATGACTCCCATTGCAGCCTTTGAGTTAACAGAAGCGACGTACAGTCCGATACCAATGATAGGATGCAACTAAAAACACCGTGACACTTACTGAGCCAACAAATATGTACCCCACAACTGTCAACATTATCCTGTTTATTATTACTTGCAATTAGATATCAATTTTTCGAGGTTACATCACTCCAAATACCAAGACCGCAAGACATTTATGACGGCAGTTACAGCCGGGATTTAAGCGTCTCGTTATATGAATTTTATCAATAAGAGGAAACCGATGTCACTTACTACAATAAGTGCGGTTTTAAGAGTACCTTGTGCAAATGTTAATCCAGACACTGGTAAATTCGGAGTCCAATGAAGGTGAATCTGGTCCTGTTAGAACGAATAACTGGTAGATCGTTCTGCCTCGTTTAAGTTAACTACTTCAAGCAAAAGTTCCCGGATTTGTTGAGAAATGTGTGCATAAGGAAAGAATTGAATTTTAAAATCTATCTGTTAACCACGTTTACGTAATTCCAACGAAATATACTAATTATATCAAGCTTAGAAAAGTACAGACCATGTTACCTCTAAATCTACTTGATTCAATTGAATGTATGTACGTATTTTCTATTATTTCATTAAAAAAATAATGTTACCTCTAAAATAGTTGAATTTTGGTGTTGGAATTTTTTGAGCATCTGTGCGAGGTGACAGGCAGTTTGTTACTTTCGATATTTCTTGAGTTCAATCAACCTTAATAGCTTCCGAGTAAACTAAGCTTTATCATTTACACAAACACTTCTCCCTGATTGGGAGAAAAATATCACGTGATCAATTTGAAGCTTCCTGATTAGACGTTAAAAATAATCTGAACACTGATTGGCTGAACAAGCTGCACCGTGTTGTGTCACGTGTCGGTTAATTGAAAAGGAAACTCTTACTTTGCCTCCCGTACGTATTATTCGACACATATTTATGTAGCTAACTTTCTACGGCGGCAAAGTTACCCAAATGTCCTGGTCCAGCTCGATGAGGAGTAATTACTCGGGCAGTTCTCATGGTGAGGTCACAGAACCATTGATGACGTCACGAACACACTTAATGACGTCACGGTAGAATAACCGTGCAGAAAATTCGGTCATCAATTAGGGATAGCAATTATATTGATGCACATCCGTTTTGTGGAGGGCACTGCCGTGTGATTGGTCAATTTGCTCACACGTGACCTGTGGGAGACTGCTGATTGGTTTTTAGCTGGAATACTCGAAAGTGATTGGTTGATCGCGATTGCTGAAGGACCGGTGCCAACATCTTCAGTAATAATTTTACCATTGTAGCCAGATTGTGAATAACTTGTAAATATATAGCGGTAAAAATAGTGGTAAATAAATGAGTGCTGAGTAACATGATTCTGTATACAATAATCCCAAATATTTTACATTCCTCACATTTATAAAGAACAGCAGAGTTTTCTTTCTTTAAAACAGAAAATGGTTTATTCGTGGCCTGAAATTGTCATTTCATTAATAAGCCTGCAGTCCCGATTTAGTACGACGATATTGCTTGACTAGCTTGCTGGTCACTTTAGCGTACTGCATTTTAAGTCATCGTCGTCTTTCCAGATTTTAGAAGTTATAGTCAACATGCTGTGATGTAAATCGATAAAAAGCAAGTAAGCAAATAAAAAAAGGCCAGTGCATGGTATTTGGTGCGCAGGACCTATTGTACAGTTATAAGTGAGAAATCTATGTAGTTATTAGTCATATCTGCAACACGTGACATCTTACCACGTAACATCATATACAAGATGTACATTATATAAAACATCCTGGTACTGTATCAGCACACATATATTTATATATTATACAGTGTGTGACAATTGTGGTTTTAATATTTCGAAACTAACGGCAGCAAGACCACTACGGGGAAATCACTTTTGGAATTAAATACTTTTATGAAGGAGTAATATGGTGACCTTTGAACTGTGTAAAGTGATGGAATATGTGGCTGTAACTGATCGTGTTAATTATAAATAATGAAAGTTGTGGAATGTTGAATTGTTTCTGCTTCGTAAGATAATTTATGCTCATCTTTTAATTTAATTATCTTTTTAAATTTAATTACGAACGTTTTCGAATAGAAGTCAAGACAGACACATTTTGTTTAAAATAAAAAGCACAAAATACTTTTTAAATTCAAGGTCAACACATATACACTGTTAATAGACAAGCTCTAACCAATGGTTATGAAGTGACTGGTAAAAGATTTGCGAAAATGGCGACAAATATAAATTAATTTTTAAGCTATCATGGCTGACGAGAAACAAGGACAGTTATCAAAGTTTTCAAAATATTTTCAAATTTGTGAAAATAGTTGTTAACATATTTTGCATATTTGAGAACATACTTGTTAACATAGTTGCATTCTCTAAAGCATAACAAACATGTATCTAACATAGTTAGATACATGTTTGTTAACATCAAGTTGCTGGTAAAATTAGAAAAACATGGCGAAAAAAGCTGTGGATGCAATATGCAGTCACCTAAACCATTGGTTTACACAAGCATCATTAATAAACTTTTAGGGTGATTATTTACATTTTACATAGCACATCTTATTTACACGATGATAATAGAAACATATTTAACATATTTTATGCTCTACATAACTTGCATATTTTATGCTCCACATAAAACATAAAAAGGTCGATCTCGTGATCGTTACAAACATTACTCAGCGCCTATTATCTCTCAGCATAGACTGACAAACAGAATTACCAGCGATTATAATTTATAATGCTCTCGGCAGTTAGAGTTTAGACGATGCATACTGGTATTGTACCGTCAAAACGCACGGCCAATCAAATGCAGGTGTCAGAGCTGCTGTCATCCAATTAATACAAAGAGATGAAATTTAATATGTCCCGCATCTTGACTCCTCGCACTATAGAAAAATAGTTTTAATCATTGACAAAAACCTCTCTCAATAAATATATGTGTGTGTCTAACTCACTAAATAGTATTAAGAGTTAAAATTTTTATTATAAAAAACAACTTGCACTTCTGTCAAAACCGTCACTCTTAAATGAACTACATCTCTGTCAAAATACGTGCGGAATGCATGATGGGAAAAGTTAAAAGAATTTATGGAAATCTTACGCTGCATCGTTTACCTCTATACAAATACAACCAATAACAATTAAACAGTTTCCAGGTTTTATCTAAGACATCGTTAAACCAATACTTATTGTCTTCATGTGCTAGAGATACGAATTTAAAAGTCGTAAAAATAGTCAACTTGCTTTAAATGATGCTAAAAATTTCAGTTAGCAATTAAGCAATTGACACGCATCACACTAAAGTCGGTGTTTAACGGTGATAGAATATAATATAGGCTCGAGAAAGAAGGTTTGGTTTTTAAAGCGATCGTCTTTTAAATGTTGTGAGACATCGCACTAATAATTTAGTCATAAAATGGACACAACAAAATGGTAATCCGTGAGTGTAAATTGACTAATATAAAATAACCAACTGCGCTGCAAGTGACGTCACACAACGCCACGTGACGTCACACAACGCCACGTGACGTCACACAACACTACGTAACGTCACACAACACCACGTGACACCCCACTAACTGATATGAGTGGGGATGCCCTGGTTTTGGAGGCCATGTACCATCTGATGGTCGTGAGGCCCCAACAGGCCCCTCCCTCCCAACATTGTTTCGCCCAACATCTCACCTAGCTCGCAATCAATCTTCTCCTGCTTCACCGAGATGAGGCTGGTCAAAGTGTTCGAAATATTGTTGGAGTTGGTGAAACTGTCGATGGTGAGGGGGAGGGAGGAAACCTCGCAGGAGAGAGGAGAGGGGTGGGTGGCGTAGGGTGGTGAGTGAGAGTTGGAGTGGCGCGGCGTGCGCACGTGCGGCGTGTTGGGGTGCGCTGCGGCTGCTGGGTAGTAGTTGTCGTGTCGTGGTATAACTGTGTGTATAAGACCTGGAGAAGAGTGGGGTCAAATATAGTTACAGGTATGAAAGTGGGGTCATATACAGTTACAGGTATGAAAGTGGGGTCAAATATAGTTACAGGTATGAAAGTGGGGTCATATACAGTTACAGGTATGAAAGTGGGGTCAAATATAGTTACAGGTATGGAAGTGGGGTCATATACTGGGATTATTTATATGGAGAGCCTGGATATTTCTTAAGACAATAAATTCATTAAAAATCAATTAACTTGATTAATTGGATCATAATACTAATAGCTTACCATTTGTAGAGGTGGTCGTTGTTGAAAATGTTGAGCTCGATATAGCTTGAGATGGGTTTGGTTTGTAGTTCGTATAACTCAGGAAATCCAAGTTTATCTCCTGAATCAAAATTACAAAGTTAAAGTCAATGATATCAAGAGCTTCATTCTTATCTGGTTCAAAAGTGAGATTCAGCTGAAAAACATACAAGTTATATCTCATTTTACTTCAATTATTCACAGTTTAGATTTCAGCACGCGTCCATTAATGTACTCATAATTCGTTATTAAAAATAAATAATAATATGTGTCCAGTATTATTAGGAACACAAATAAATACAAAAATAATGAAAAATTTAAATGTACCAACCTCAGTCTTAATCTCAGGACTAGCCTGGCCGTTATTGTTGGAACCCTTACTTTGGAACCTCCCGCCCTCTCCTCTCACTCTTCTGCAGGCGTGTAGGTGCCGTGATTCGTGCAGGTACTTCTGTAATGATAAGGTACTTTTAGGTACTTGAAGGTACATTTACGTACTTTAAGGTACTATTAGCAACATTCTTAAAATCTTATTGTGCAATTGTGATATCTATATTATAATTCAGAGAATTCTTTTTGTTTGTACAATGTTTGTACACTGTACGACCGCCCACGTGCAAATTAGGTAAAAAGCAAAAGGTTGCAAAGTAACCATGGTAACGAGGGTTATTACACGTACGTGCACGTGCAATGATTGTTTTAACGTAATTTTTATCGGTTTTGTTGATATTACGTTGTTTTTAGTACGAGCAACATTTTAATCGGCTGTATCTTCGGTGGGATGAATACTTTTTGACGCGATTTAAACTTACTAACAAAAAATACTATTAGCTTTCCCCCTGTGACCACGGGTTTTCTAGTATCACAATAATTTTGTATACATACAAAATTATTGTGATGTGGAACCACCTCAAATATGTATAATATGGCCCACTGCCTTTTAAATAATATTCATTTATGTGTCATTTTATGTTCACGATAAGGTAAATGATAAAACTTCAATCTTATAGGTAAAATATTAATTTAAAAACTCAAGTTAAATCTCATCAGATTTTAAAGGTTTTGAATCTAAAAAAAGTCTTCAACCTAAATTTGAGATGATATGGTTATAACGACATCTCAAAACCATAACCCATTATTTTAAAATTGGTTATTGCCAAGCAAGTTAATTTGCTTCTCGGCCACGTGTGTGTCACTTAGCTTCCCATTAGAAATCGAATCCCTTTTGACGACAAAAATTTAAATTATTTGGACCTCGAGGGGCTCCGATATAATAGAAATCAAACAAAATTTGTGGACAAAAGACTCGTGCTGGGATTGGAGCTGACCACTCGCTCGAGAATTACGAAAAGATCAAAATTGAAACAATATCTTTGACCTGGTTCGCCAAACCTCGGTCCCTGACCGGACATCTAAAGGTTAACAATAAATTATAAAACTCTGTAGTAGTCAAACTTTGAGGATTTCGAGGAAATCGATTGAAATATCACTGAGCAACTTTTTTTCGCTGATAAAGCAAAATATCGTAAAGCTTTAGTAAAAAAGGAAGAGGGGGACTGCAAATAATCAAATATGGTGTCAACGACCAGGGGCGACACATCAGAGGTACAATACGGATACGGTGGGTGCGAATGGCCGTACCTACGCTCCACGCTCCATGAACTCAGTAGCAAATCATCATAGCATATTGGTCACGTGTAACAAATAACAAATACAATGAGAACAGCCTAAGTCCCATATGGTCAACCGAATAAGTTGGATAAAAAAGTTATTCGCACGTTACAGAGGTTTAATTCTAATGATTTTAAAATAAAATCAGAAAACTCAAACAATTTTTACAGCAAAGAGCCTTACCTTTCGAATCTTGGGTATCTTGCCGTCAGCTTGCAGTTTAGCTCTGGCCTGTCTTCTTTTCAGTATCCTATGGTACTGTTTAGCGTTAACATATAGTGGTTCCTCTCAGGAGACATCTCGTGAAGCGAGGGAACCGGGTAACGGGTAACGGACTGGCTGGACGGTATCATCTGAAATAAGGGGTGACGTTAGAGGGAACCGGGTATTGTAATGGGTAACGGACTGGCTGGACGGTATCATCTGAAATAAGGGGTGACGTTAGAGGGTACCGGGTAACGGGTAACGGACTGGCTGGACGGTATCATCTGAAATAAGGGGTGAAGTTAGAGGGTACCGGGTAACGGGTAACGGACTGGCTGGACGGTATCATCTGAAATAAGGGGTGACGTTAGAGGGTACCGGGTAATGGGTAACGGACTGGCTGTATATTATCATCTGAAATAAGGGGTGACGTTAGAGGGTACCGGGTAATGGGTAACGGACTGGCTGGACGGTATCATCTGAAATAAGGGGTGACGTTAGAGGGTACCGGGTAATGGGTAACGGACTGGCTGGACGGTATTATCTTAAATAAGGGGAGAAGTTAGAGGGTACCGGGTAATGGGTAACGGACTGGCTGGACGGTATTATCTTAAATAAGGGGAGAAGTTAGAGGGTACCGGGTAATGGATAACGGACTGGCTGTATATCATCATCTGAAATAAGGGACATACTAGAGCTGAAGAACATGTATGAGAAGGAAACTTATTGCTAGTTTAATATCGTGTGTACGTGTCTTGATATGCCTGATTTTCCTTTTCATTGCAGCACGAGAATTAGGTGTGATTCTTGATAAAATATGCACGTATCTTGGAAGATGAGGAGAACAAGAGATCATTCCTGGTTTATAGAAACAAATTAAGTTTTAAAAAATTACCTTCTTTGAATGATCAGATTTTTAAATCAGGTGTGAACGTTTTACACCCCTAACTTTAGTGTTTGAATATGACATCACCCTCAAGTAATCCACAGTAGAAAAAACTTGGAAAGTTAACACACACACTAAATATATCAATATATAATAGTTCAGTTAATATATAACAGTTCAGTTACAACTCGAAAGGTCTTCGCTGGAGTATCCGTTAATTGATATAATGTTTAGTAGTTGTATTGTTAAGGTTTTGGAACCAACCATACACACTTATCACTTATGACAATTCGCGGGGTACCTCCTGTCCCAGACTCATCTAGTTAATTAATTGATTAATTAGTTAATTGATGTCGAGGAACTCAGCAAAAACCGAACACAAAAACCTGCGGTCTGTCATCGCGACAGATATCCCTTTATCTATTGATATATGTAATATATATATATTATCGATAGAATTACGGTTAGCGGAATTATGTTATTTTTTCGTAATCTGTCAAACATTGAAGAGGCAGCTACTTTGGCGCAAATCACTCAGAAAGAGAGAAATAAAATAGAGCTGCTGATATAAAAGCACAAAGACCACGATTATAAAACTCTAGGGAACTCAGAAATTGAGGCTCATTAAGAGAGTTAGTTGTAGGGGTAGGCAGTTAGAAGGTACATTAAGTGCGCATATTATAGGTTCTAAATACACAGACCTACGGGAATATTGCACTTGCAGCTGACACACAGTCCAAACGGACGTGATGTTTGATGTGTTTTTACAGGGATTGATCTACCTGGTACCTGTTAAGTAGGTACCAAACAGGTACTCAACAACTCTATGTTGGTACAGAATGGGTGCTCAATAAGTACTGACACTTGACAAGGTACTTAAGGGAACACCTCCAAAGTGTTATCTCTGTACCGGGATAATATCAGATCGTTCGTACGTGTGGGATCTTGGAGTGGCAATGTATGCTTGGACTTTAAGTCCAGGTTTCGGGCAACTGCTCTCATTACCCCATATCCTTACCTCGTACAATTCCGGTATTCTTTCCATTGCTATTTGCTGAGTAAGTAGTAAATGCTTGAAAAGTACATACTTGATGCTTACATAACCTATTTCCTTATAATATGCAGTGTCATAAGGGGAAATATGCTGATTTTAAAGATGAAATATGCTGATTTTTGATTTATAAATTATGCACGTGTTCCTGTAAACAGAGACTAAAATGCGTGCTGGTTGGCGGGCAACGGTCCAAGTTATGCAGTTCTTGCACTGCAAAATACAATTTGATGACTCCATGCCAGGTATCCACGTTACTCTTTGCCTGGCTAAAATTAACTACAGGCCCAGTTTCAGGTGAACCCTAAATGTCCACGCCAACTCCCTAACCTTAAATCCTAAACTAGGCTCTCCCTAAACCCTGGCAACATCTCCCTAACCCCAGATCTCAGTTTTAATGCAGCTGTCTAACTGTGAGTCTGGGAGTACGGTCCTATGCTCCACGGTCATTTCGCCCGGGTCCTTAACTTTGGAATCGAGCTAGGGGATGCGTAGTACCTGGAATTAACGAGGGTACTTTTACTACATTTCCCCCTTCCCATCCAGGGTTAAATACATTATAATTCCAGCTCCTAATCTTACAAGGGAAAATACAACCCCCTAATATAAATGAGTAAATACAACCCCCTAAATCGTCCAGGGTTAAAAGCTAAACGGGGCTTGTATTTAGTTTAAATACAAGCCCCCCCGGCCCGGGTTTAAGAGGTTAGATACTGGTCCCGTTTAGACAATTGAAATGATCCAGGATAAATATGACGAGTCTTCAGTCTATTCTTTAGAAGAATAAAAGAGACAAGTTCCCGGGACCTAGGAGAGTAGTTAGGGTCATCTGATCATCATAGGCTCAATCCCAAGATCCTGTGTGCAGTAATGTTAGCTGTCTCAGAATTTCAGGGACCTTCGAGAACAATGGTTTAAAAAGGTGATCTCAAGCATCAAGGGGGGATTAGCTTTTGACTCGGTTCGATTGAGATGAAATGGGTGATGACATCATAACATCGTCACCCTAATAACATGACTCATCACGTGTCACTCGAAAAGAGCACCTAATGTTACCTGTATCTCCATTACATAGTACATTTACACTACCACGGACCGCCCTTGTTGCCTGGTCCCTAACGGAAATACCCATTACTTAGAAGTAAGTCATGTTCCACGCGCCACTCATTGGAGGAAACAGGGCGCGCTCATTGGCTGGATATTGTCACGTGACCTAAACACGCGGCTCTGATTGGACGAGAGCTGGTCACGTGATGCGGATAGGTTGTTAGGGTGGATAATTGCACTCCTTCTTTTCCTTAAAGCAAGGGAGCAGTAGAAGTATAGTACAAGGAAAGAAAGTAACAAGCTTGCTTGCTCATCTATAAGCATTAAACCTACAGAGGGGAATATATTCTCTCTACCCTTACTTTCTCCAAAACTGTTTTTTGGGAAATGAAAGTCAAACCACTACGATAAATAAGGAGATTGAAAAACGGATTGAACAAAATTAATTCTGGTCCTATTTCTGTTTCTATTCCCGGTTCAGTTTCTACTCCTGTTCTTAACCATATTGAGATGTTTAGAGACGGTAGATCAATGCTCTGGACATCTCCGCAATCCAACCCGGGTCAGCTGAGATTTAGTAAAATTACATGTCTTACAGAGCAGTCAGTCTACTGTCATTAAAACTTTATGTCGGACACAGATCTCCTGAAAGAGACCCCATCAGCCTTACTAATCAAGATATTCATGAACATTATGATCTTTAATTAAGTAACCTTAAGATTAGAGTGATCCTTGATCAGGGAGAATACAACGAGGCCTCTTTATTGAGGAATTAAACAATACAATGGCCTTTCTCCTCCCGAACTTCCTTGAATTAAAGTCCTAAGCATTTTGAGTACAATAAATCGTAGATTCGTAATACACCTTTGAATATATACTGTACGATTGAATGCTATGCTGTCTTATGAGGAAAGATTTAAGAGACCATGTTAATTTTTGTGAGTACTGTAAAGAATTGTTGGCGGGGTTGAATTAAAAAAAGGCTACTTTCCGAGAGAAACATTATGCTGACGACACAGATTAGGATAAGTTGATTTTTACGGAGTACTTAATTAGTACTGTGGAAACTTGCAGGGTTGTTTTTTAATATTTTTTTGATAAATGTAAAAATAGTAAGGGTTATAAGTCAAAAAATAGGTGGTTTCACTTAAGGCCGATCTTATTGAATAAATCATGATCAGATAAAATATATTCTAACAAGCACGGCTACAATTAACAAGCAGATGTTGAACAGTTTTCAACTTGGCTTGATTCGTATCCGTATCTGTGGTCATCACACGCTGACCAGTGACCAATTGCCGTTCAATATGTACACTTGTGGTCACTAAACTATACAACAATTAACATCATATTCAAATCAGTCTATATACTATCAATCGAGTACAGAACTGACCTATACCTTAAATCCGGGTAACCTCATGACAGCATTAGTTTGGTTTCTGCGAACCTTACCTTCAACTTGTCTTCAGTGGTCTCTGGACCTAACTTAAGAGTATATGCTACCATTAGTGTCAATTACTAAACCAAAAGAATTCCCAACACACTCAGCTTAAGTGTGACTTGTGTGAAACAAGCCCAGTTTCGCACAAATCACACGTTATAACTGAGAACCATGTCTAAAAAGGTGTGAATTGTTTGTGAGGGTGTGATGTTTGAGGGTGTGATACTGGGATGTGTCTCTTTACTTCTATAAAGCACAGTCACAAGGGTCATCTTAAACTGCTCCGTTCAAATCTGGCAGTTCGAGAAATGTGTGAGTGTGACGATGAATGATAACGTGTTATGGAGTAAAACGTGCAGTGTTGCGCGCAGCAGTTTATGAGAGCGGTGGGATTAAGGGCTGAACGGGTGGTCACTGGTCGGCACCAGTGGGGTGGTGTAGTTCCGACTAGTGGGTGTAGTTCCGACTAGTGGGTCCTTTGAGCGAGCTAGAGACATGTTCAGTTCGGTGGTAGAGTAAAACCTAGTCTAGGTCGGCAGATTGTTGTGAAATTACTCCGTGTACTTTGCATGTTGTTTGAAATAAATAAGACGATTGAACTACTGAAAGTATATGGCAGGATTGTTCTCAAGACGTTTAGCGACGTTCAACGGCCACAAAGTTAAAAATATGGCTGTGTTATTGAAATAGACAACATGGTTGTAACTGCATGTGATGTCACTCATGCAATGTCTGGGACCTTAGAACTGGATTACTTGCTGTGTTTTGGCGTTTAAATGGCTGACAACAAGTTTTAGCAAGGTATACGATTTGGTTATTGATGCACATTGCACGTGCTCCACAGTGAATATTCATAATATAATAATATTATGAATGGTCATAATGCCGAGATTACTCTCAGAGTTAGACTCAGAAGATGGTAGAAGTATTGTAGGAGCAGCAACACTTTACCTAGATAATCCTTTTAACTAGAAATGGACGGTTTGTATTTCTGTAAAACTACCTGAAAGTATACGACGAACGGCTAAACGCAAGTAAACATTAGTTGAAAGGT